AAAAGGTTGTTAATTAGTAAGACCAATTATATGTGAAATGCGGTTGACTAGTGTAATGATATATCACTCAGAAATAAGATATTTCAGAGGGTTGGTGGAAAATCTTCGAGGGCAAAGAGTGCCTCAGCACCTCAGGAAGCATGTCAAGAAAATCAGTTTCAGACATAGAAGAATAGACAGGGCCGGGTGGGGTGGGCTAGCGATTGACGGGGTCAAAGAGAGAGCGGCTGTGCTGGGGATAAATCTGGGTTATACGATGGCTTTGTAGGTGTTGACTGGCCCTAGGTGTGCGATAGAGTTTCCGGAGAGGAAGGGGAGAGAGAGAGTCCCTGGGATTTGTGGTTTAGGTAGGATAGGAGTTGGAGTGGTGGTGGTGGTGAGGGTGGCTTTGGGGATGAGAAGGGGACGGGAGAGTGAGAAAGAAGAAGCAAAGGCAGAGGAGGCGTCAGTTATCTGTAGAAGAAAGAGAGAGAATGAATGAATTAAAGATAATTAATGAGATGAGAGAGATTGAATTCTTAATTAATATCAGAATTTTAATCTCAATGTATAAATATTAATTAAAGTAAAAAAAATATTATTTTGTCATGTTAGGTTTAATCTCAACCATTAAAAGTAGAGTAATCTAATGGTCCAAAAATTGTGTCAAAACTTGTGTCAAAAATATGGTGCCACGGATCCGCCCCCATATATATATGTAGGTACGTATTTTTCAATAATACATTCGTATTTTATACATGTCTACTGTTTTTTTAAAAACAAACGTACAATAGAGCGTATTGTACATGTACATACGCATTTCTAATGCTTAATACCCATATTTTATTACAAGATTTTCAATAATTCACACAAAGTTCACGTATTATACAAATAATTCTCACATATTACTGAATACGAATAATATATTTAATTTAATACCCAAGGCCCAAGTCTTTGATTAATTTAATTATTTTTAATGGAAGCCAAATCCAAAACCCAGCCCGTTAGCCCAACTCTCCAATGTTAACCGCACTTACTAAATCATCGTTGTGCTTTGTTTATAAACACCTTAATAGGAGTGTAAATTTTCAATGTGGAATTTCTATTTTTTTGTCACTCTTCTTCATAGTGTTACCAACCCCATCCCTGAATTTCTTTTCTACCTGATTTGCAGAAAAATGCCTTTCCTTTTCCACCATTGCCTTTTCAATAGCTTTTATTCTTCTTTGTAAATCCTGCAAGTCCGAAACACCATCTGATACCATGGCCACTTTATCTCCATCCAAATGAGAGCTTTCAGCATGCAAAAAGTCATCATGGATACAAATGATATCCAAAATCACATGCACCATCGAACTATTGAAATCAAACACATGAATGTTAAGATTTCGCTTGCTCGAGGATGCGTGTGGGGAGGATTAATTCCCCATGGTGCATAGTCGATGCGCGCAATGGAGATACCAAGAGTATTAAGTCCTGCTATTTGAGATACATTAACAGGGGTCACACGTGAGCCAACTGCATTTGATGTGTTTCCTGCTAGGTGAAGCCCACTGAAGAAGAAGTCATTGGCATCAACAAGTTTGGAATCCTTGCAGACAACACCATTCACTGGTACTGAAATCATGATGAGAAAATTCCATTAGAAACATAAAAAAATTCCACTAGCTGATTGACATTATCGTCATATATATGTACATATGAATGTGATTCTAGCTAGCTACCTACCTGAGGTTTTCGGATCAGCCACGCAGAAATCTTGAAGAGAACTTGGGTCAGATGCCAAAGCAATGGAAGAAGTTATGGCAAGGAAAGCCAACAACAGAAGCTGAGAGGCCATTGGAATTTGGAAATTCTTTGGCTCTATATTGTCCCACTGTCAAGACATTAAACTTCGGAAGCAAGTATAAACTTGAATTGTGGATTGAGAACATACGCCGCTGCAAATTTTATAGAGAGGGAGCTCAAGCTTGCGGGTTGTCCTATATGCACTGAAAATGTCTATTAGTCTTTGTATCCGCGTATGAGAATTTGTTCTGTACTGAAAGCTTGTCATCAATTACCTGACTTTAATCTCAGATGCCGGCCTTTAAATGGTTCCTTTCTGTGTATGTATGATAAGAATAGCTAGCCAGGTCAAAGTTAATGAATGGAGGCTATCTTATTATTTTATAGAGGTAATTTTGGCCCTATTCTTAACTGGATGAGCTTCAGGAGACTTGTTCAGTTGAACAGGTCATTATGAAGCTAATTTATATGCCTTTATATTTATACAATAATTGATTTTGTCAAACTCTGTCTTGAGATATTTTATCAATCTAGAAGTTGCTTTCATATATGAAAAACTACGAACGATAACAAAGGAAATTCTTTCTATGTAAATTATTCTTCGATTCCATCAGACAACCATGCAAATCCTTTGCACAATTGAGTGTAATATGAAGTGTCACTTACCTTGTTGGAAGACAGAGAAAAAATTAAGGAATTTAGCAAGCCACCAAGTGTTTGCTTAAGATATTTCAAAAATGGTTGCTTCCTTCATGGAGTTTTAGCCACAACTTCTTTTCGTGGCCACATTTTCTACGTAAAATACCATCCGCGAGTGATTTTTTGCTAATGATCAATAGAGAAGAAATCACCATATCATCTCTACAGGTATCTTCTGAAACCACAACAGGATTTCATTACTAAAAGTGTTTAGCAGCGAACCACCTTATCTTGCAGTGCTCATAGCTGGAGGCATTTTCATGATCAGTCAACCTAACAGTTACCTAGCTTAGTTTCTAATCTTCAGGATTCTCAATTGCTCTCATTGTTTTATTTTAGCCTTGTTACATCAATCTTCCATTCAGCAGAATTTATATTCTCCTTTAACTGCATTGGTCTTTTGCTTTCTGGATCATCATTCTTGCTTTAACTGATTGGTTTAAGTCCTTAAATCGTTCATGAGATTGCATGGACGTTTACTAGCTGGCTAAAATTCTTTTACAGTACTTTAAGCCTCCATATATGATAGCAAACTTCAATAATAATTTTATTTCTTGGAGCAATAGAATCAAACAAATAACAAATCAACTTGAGCACATTTCTAAGTGACCATAAACAAATGATTCTGAATCAGACGAAATTAATATTAGACCAACATGACTGCAACGAGAAATAAACTGTAACAATTTTCTTAACACTACATTGCACACTTCAAATGAATTGTCTGTCCCTTTTCGGTGAATTAGAGGCTCCATATGGTACTCTAAAACTTTGACTGGAAATTGTAGATTGTGTTCTTCTCCACTTGGAAAGCCTTTGCAAGAATATCAGCAGAGATGTCGGGCTTTGATCCAAATACTGCATGTGCAATGGTAATGACACCTGGATTTTGGCTGCTGAGAGCTGCGATGGCAACTGCATTACCATATCCCACATTTTGTTGGAAATGCACGAGACCGACAGGGAACACAAACACATCACCCTTCTCAAGTACCTTGGTGATGAGACGGTTTTCGGGGTTGGAAGTGACAAAACCCACTTTGAGGCTCCCTTCCAGGACTGTCAAGATTTCACTCGCTCGAGGATGTGTGTGGGGAGGGTTAATACCCCATGGTGCATAGTCGATACGTGCAATAGAGATACCAAGAGTGTTAAGTCCTGCAATTTGGGCTACGTTGACAGGGGTCACACTGGAGCCAACTGCATTTGATGTGTTGCCTGCTAGTTGAAGCCCACTGGAGAAGAAGTCATTGGCTTCAGCAAGCTTGGGATCCTTGCAGACAAGACCATTCACAAGTACTGAAAGCATGATGAGAAAATCACATTAGACACGGATATAGTTTACCATTTTATCATAGTATGCATGTATTTGTTTTGCAGAAATAGAACAAAAAATATATGAAATTATGATTCTAGCCACCTGAGTTCTTTGCGTCAGCCACGCAGAAATCCTGAAGAGAACTCGGGTCAGATGCCAA